GTCCCTTTTCAAATAAATAAATAAATAAAATAAAAATAAAACTTTCTGCTCCTGGCCTCTGTCTGGCGCGCACAATGATGATGCAGTGAATAGTGACGATTCTCTCTGACCAATCAGTAGTCTGATGTGTTTTCACGTCACATTTTAGAATCGCCTCAGCTCGCTCGGACCCTCGATGGAGGTGATACAAAAAAAAGTACCGGACAGCAGGTACAAGTACAACCTTTCCACAATGGAAAACCATAACAAAGGCGCGGCAAGTTGAGGCGAATCGAGCTGGTACCATGCAGTGGAAAAGGAGCTTAAGTGAAAATGTCCAAATTGGGCCCACTTAGTAATTTTCCCTCCCTGGCATCATGTGACTTGTTAGTATTACAAGGTCACAGGTGTGAATGTGGAGAAGGTGTGTTAAATTTGGTGTCATCGCTCTCACACTCCCTCATACTGGTCACTGGAAGATCAACATGGCTCATGGCAAAGAACTCTATGAGGATCTGAAAAAAAGAATGGTTGCTCTACATAAAGATGGCCTAGGCTATAAGAAGATTGCCAAGACCCTGAAACTGAGCTGCAGCACGGTGGCCAAGACCATACAGCTTGTCAACAGGACAGGTTCCACTCAGAAAAGGCCTTGCCATGGTCGACCAAAGAAATTGAGTGCACATGCTCAGCAGCATATCCCGAGGTTGTCTTTGGGAAATATACGTATGAATGCTGTCAGCATTGCAGCAGAGGTTGAAGGGGTGGGGGGGTCAGGCTGTCAGAGCTCAGACCATACACCACACACTGCATCAAATTGGTCTGCATGGCTGTCGTCACAGAAGGAAGCCTCTTCAAACATTATGCACAAGAAACCCTGCAAACAGTTTGTTCAAGACAAGCATACTTAGGACATGGATTACTGGAACCGTGTCCTGTGGTCTGATGAGACCAAGATAAACTTATTTGGTTCAGATGGTGTACAGTCAAACATGGTAGTGGGAGTAATAATAATAATAATAATACATTTAATTTGTAATGCACTTTACATTTACGCAAATCCCAAAGTGCTACATGATAAAACAGGTAAGAGCTAAAAATAAAAACACATGGAGAGCATGAAAATAAAAATAATAAAAATAAATAAAATAAACAAAAACAATAAGGAAAAGGGCAAGAGTTCAATCAAAAGCTCTCCTAAAAAGGTGGGTTTTAAAGCCACGTTTAAAAGTATCCACAGTGGTGAGTGTGGGACGGAGTTTGGCGATGTTCCTGAGGTGGAAGAAGGAGGTCTTGCAGAGATGTTTGATGTGAGCCTCAAAGGTCAGATGAGAGTCCATTTTAACACCCAGGTTAGTGGCTGATGTTGAAAGTGGAATATTTTGAAGGAGATGCTGGTAATGTCAGATGACCGAACCTGGTGTGGAGTGCCGACTAAGATGGCTTCTGTCTTTGAGCTGTTACAGAAAGTTTTGCTTCATCCTCGCCTTTATCTTCTCCAGGCAGGTGGTCAGAGTGGATGATGGCAGGGCAGCAGAGGGGGTTGGGTTTGTCCTGAGTTGAGTGTCATCAGCATAGCAGTGGAATGAAATTCCATGCCAGCTGATGACATGTGGCATGTAGAGAATAAACAGGGTGGGGCCAAGTACTGAACCTTGAGGGACACCACAGGTGACGTAGTGTGTCAGGGATTTAGCCTCTCCCAAGGCATGCCAAAGACATGCGCAGTTCTCCCGGTGAGGTAGGATGAGAACCACTCATGGACAGAATCAGAAACACCGAAAGTGGAATTTAGACGGTGGAGGAGGATGTTGTGGTCCACAGTGTCGAATGCTGCAGTCAAGTACAGGGGGATGAGAAGAGATGGGGAGCCAGCGTCTGCACTCATCAGCAGACGCTGGCTCCCCATCTCTGCAATGACACTCACTGACCAGGGTCAGGGTCACAAATGAGTGTCATGGTCTGGGGGGCTGCATGAGTGCTGCCGGCACTGGGGAGCTACAGTTCATTGAGGGAACCATGAATGCCAACATGTACTGTGACATAGTAATGCAGAGTATGATCCCCTCCCTTCGGAGACTGTGCTGCAGGGCAGTATTCCAACATGATAACGACCCCAAACACACCTCCAAGTCGACCACTGCCTTGCTAAATAAGGGTAAAGGTGATGGACTGGCCAAGCATGTCTCCAGACCTAAACCCTAATGAGCACCTGTGGGTCATCCTCAAACGGAAGGTGGAGGAGCGCAAGGTCTCTAACATCCACCAGCTCCATGATGTCGTCATGGAGAAGTGGAAGAGGACTCCAGAGGCAACCTGTGAAGCTCTGGAAAACAATGGTGGCCACACAAAATATTGACACTTTGGACCCAATTTGCTGCGATGGACTGGCGACCTGTCCAGGGTGTACCCCGCCTTTCGCCCGATGTTAGCAGGGATTGGCTCCAGCCCCTCGCGACCCTGTACACAGGATAAGCGGTTGACGATGGATGGATGGATGGATGGATGGATGGATGGGCCCAATTTGGACATTTCCAGGGGTGTACTCACTTTTATTGGCAGCGGTTTAGACATTAATGGCTGTGTGATATGTTATTTTTAGGGGACAGCAAATTTACACTGTCATCCATGCTGTACACTCACTACTTTACATTGTATCAAAGTGTCATTTATTTACAAAGAAATTACACAAATGTGAGGGTTGTACTCACTTTTGTGAGATACTGTAAATATAGGCTATATATATCTTTTGTGCATGAGTGTGCAGTTGCTCCTGCTCGTACTCTTTCCTTGTTCCCATGTTTAGCTTTCTTAGCAAATGTTTTTGAAGTATTGGTTAGCGACCATAATTTGATCTTTCCAAGGAAAAAGCGTGAGAAAACAAGACTAAAAGTCTGTCATGCTAGCGCCCCCTTGAATGCACTGCTCAATTGCTAGACATCACAAAATGAAACTATTGAATGGACAAAAAATATAATACAAAGACAAATTTGCTATTCTTAGATTACCAGAATAAAGGACACATTGTTACACAAATTAAAAGGTTTTAAGTTTAGACCCACCTTTAAGCTCAGTTCTACATTGCCTAGACTCGTCATTACCTCATATTTTATCAGCTGTAAAGCCCATCATCAACTGCCCTTTGTTTAAGTTGTAGCCTTCATTATCAGCCAGACAATTAATTATTAATTAATATATATATATATATATATATATATATATATATATATATATATATATATATATATATATATATATATATATACACACAATTAATTCATTGTATGTATATTTAATGTAATTTTTCGTGGTTTTATTTGGTGATGATATGATTTTTGTGATATTGTTTTAAAGAATTCTGTGGTTTTTACTGCACAGATAACTCATTGTAATGTTTTAAATGATTTTGAACCTTATTGTGGCTTAAAAGAAATGAAGAACTCAACTTTTTCTTACCTTTATCTTGGCTTTCACATTATCTCTGTGGACATTGAAATCTATCTTCAGTACACTTCACTACAACTGAAAAGGAATAAAATATTAAACAGTGTCAGACCAATGTCGTTCTGACAAGTTGGGTAGCTCAAAGGGGACAAATATTAAGATTTCCACGTTTTTATTTTGAGTTTTTTCATAATGCTAAATAATAATAATAAAAAAGAGAGAACACGATGTAGCTGACTTTCATGTCACTCCATCTAAATTTCATCAATGAAATAGACTCTGGACGAGGTGTGTTGATCGGCTTCATCTCATTAAAGTTTCAGCCTCATTGGAAGTGTCAGGATAGACAGAAGAGCAGGGAGAGATAAGGGTCAACAAAAAGCAGCATGGTGTATGCTCAAACTGCAGCGCATAATGAATAGATTACTATCACACTTTACACACACACACACACATACACACATCTAAAATACAATTCCATTTCATAGTGGAAATTAATGAAAAGCATGGCTTCATGCCATGTTTGAAATATTTTGAGTGTGCTGCTGTGACAATTTAAATTCCCCATATTCTGCACTTACTAAGGCACTTTGGAGCTGATTCAAGATGCAGTTGCTGGGCTTTTAACTAGAACTCAGAGCACATTACATACATTTTATCATTCCTCCACTGGCTTCCAGCTTCCTGCTTTTTAAAGAATATACATCGAGATTTCACTGATTAGTGACAAGGGATTAAATGGATCAACCTATTTTTCTGACCTTTCAGGATAAGGGTAGGCTACTTAAGCGACCATTTGGTGTATTGTCATATCACTCTACTTTTGATACATTACTTTTAAAAATTGCTTTAATGCATTATATGTGGTCATCATGCACCCCATAACATCTTAAAAATGTTACAGTAGTAGAGACAATAAATCAAATGCGTATTTAACAAGACAAGTGTACAGCAGCAGTGACTTTGTGAGGCTATACTTAGGAAAACATGTGCTTTAAGCTAAATGCTGACAATGATGATGCTAACATGCTAGGTTGTTTACCATGTTAGGCATCTTAGATTAGCATGTCACCATGCTAACATTTGGTAACTAGCAATTTCATTAGTTGTATCTGCACCATGAACACGGTGAGTTAATGACAATAAACACAGCAGTTGTTGAGACATTCAACTAAATTACAAAAATGTCACCCTCATTTTGATGCTAAAGGAAAAGGGGATGCCCTTTATCAGTATACTTCGTCCTCTGGGGACCAACAATATCTGCACCAAATCTGATGGCAATCCTTCCAATAGTTGAGATATTTCAGTTAAAGTTCACTCAGTCAAAGTGTGAACTGACCGACATTACCATCACAAAAAATTGCTTTTAATTAACATTCATTTAACTGTATGCTGTCATGAAACACCCTGTAACCATTGTAAGAAATGTGCAGTATGAATATTGGGGAGACCTGAATAGAGCATACTGAAGGGAATACCTGGTTGAAAAGCAGAAGTACATGTGTCTCTCTGCTCCTAAGACCTTTATGCTTTTGGCTTTGCTTAACAAATGCATTCAATAAAACTCAATCTCATCACATTAACTTAAATGTACATTATGTACTTTTATTAAAATATGTTACTCAGTCACTTCCCCACACAACTATGCATAGAAAGACCTTGAGGCAATCATGTTTGTTATCTTGAAAAAATATAAAACATGGCTTCACAATATAAAAAAATGCACTGCCCCAGTTCCCTTTTACAAAGAAAATGTACTCCGCAAGGAGCCACATAATAGCACCGTGATGACTTACACTCCAATATACATCACATAATTATAACAACAAAATGGCAACAACAACAAAAACAAATTGAGGTTTGAAGATAACACAGAACAATACGGTGGATGAATGTTGCTGAAACATGGTGTTTTTGTATTTTTGAAGAGGATTCACTGATTCTTATGTTTGGGGACTTGTGTATGATTATTTATAGATGGGAATTGAGTGCATACATCAATAAATGTATGAACAGACATGGATGAAACTGTGACAGCACCATTTACTCCTCCAAAGAGGAAGGAAAAAATGTGTTTAACTGAGGACAGTCAATACATTTATGCACTGCTCTTGAGTCAGTTGAGAGAATGTATGAGATGGTAAGAATTGTAGAGTCTGAGTGAATGAATGCATAAAAGAATGAATGTTTAGATGAAGGAACACTGTTGTAGGTAAATCAATATATATATATATATAAATATGTGGGACCAAGTAAGTCTTGAATGTAGTTTTCTCCCTGCATTTAAAAAGTGTCCATGGCTCTTTTTCTTATTAAATTACTCCTGTTGTAATCTCTCTCCGGCTTGTTTAACCATTGTAGCAGACCGGGCCAACCTGGAAACCAAATTTCTGGTTTCCTTTCCCAAAATCTGGCACAGACACGTCAATGATGGGGAGCGTGTTAGACAGCGGAGCGTCAAATTCCAACACTGTCCTCTCTTGCCCCGAGCGAGCCTGAAGCAGAAAAACACAATTGAACAATCAGAAAACAAATGTAGGTGTATGTGTTCACACTGAAATGTCTGAATTTGAATTTGTGTAACTCACCTGACATCCGTCGTACAGTGCACTGATGTAATGTGTGTTCTCATGTGTCAGCTCCTCCCCGTTGATGCCTCTGAAGCGCAATGCGTGTTCGTGGCTGATTGTGGCGGCGTGCAGCCAGGCGGCGGAGTTGAGGCAGTGGTAGGTGAAGGTTTGCTTGGCTGTCGCGCTGAGCAGCTGCAGGAATGTCAACTGGACCACGTGGACTGGAACGCTGTCTGACCCTGAGTAGGAAAACTGAAGGAAAACACCAGAATCACACACAAATAAGAACCAAAAATGCAATTCTCAAAGCACTACCCTACCTGCACTCCGGTGTTATTTGCATGTATTTAAATGAGATAATATGCATACATTTGGCGCTTTCTATGCAAATGAGCTAACATTTGCAAAAATTGTCCAATTCACAAACACCAGTGCTAATAACCACACACAGTTGGAGTGAAATTATTAGTGTCTTCAAATAATTTCAGTGGTAACTGAAGCGCATTTATAAAGGGGGTCTCACACCCAGATTTTCCAGTGAATATGGCAGCTGTGATTGTAGCCAGGCAAAGCAATAGCACTTAACAGTACATCATATGTGCACAGATGGCACAGAACATAACTGATATACATCAGGAGGGAATGAAACTGGAAAACAACATAAAACCTACTGCTGTGTGGAAGCGGAGCCGGTAGTTACGCACTGTAACACAACATCACAGAGCAGAGTAGAAAAAACAGCTGTCCATGTGCCCACACTCAAAAGGAGGAGAGCACATTTAAAGCACCTAACTAATAATCCCTCTCTGACAAAACACTCCATACAGAGTGAGTCATAAAAAACTACTCTCGCAGAGAGAAACAAATGAAAGAGCAATGGGAGTTAATACATAATTAGAATAGTTAGAATTAGAATAAGATCTCTTGAAATTAAACATTTGTTCTTGCCGCTGCATTTCTATAATTATTTGACTCAGATGTTAATTAAGCATGTCTGTGTTATGCTACTTATCCTCAAAATTAGTATTTTTTTTGGTTGCTTACTGGGATATAGAAAAGGAGGTTTTTGATGAGAGATGGACTCCTAGGAGATTTGAACTGAGATAAGGACTCATTAACTGTTGGTTGAACTGTGCATTTTGTATTGAGCACTTACTGTATAATACACTGTGGTGAACTTAGTTTTTCTTGTTGTCTGTAGGTAGGCCTACTGATGATATTATATCATATTATTCAGTACACTTTAAGAGCAAATATTACAAAAATTACAGATGAATATTTAACAGATGCAAAACAAAATGCAAATTGCACTCATCTGCGAAACTTTATGGCCATGTTTGCGCTCGGGCTTAACGATTAATTGCATTTGCAATATTATCGCAATATGATGAGATGAGATTTTCTAATCGCAAAGGCTGTGATTACACAGTGGTCACATGACACGCGAGCGTAAATTAGTCTGCAGAGGAATAATCAACTTCGCACATTACGCTGTACCTTGACTTGTTCTTGTACAATGGCCGTAAGCTTGACAGAAGCTGACACTACAGACATTTAGTGTTACACAAGGACTGAGAGTAGCACCCACCACCTGCAGGTAAGGTGGTGGTGGGTGAAATCTTTGGGTCATCCGCAGCTTTGGCAGACAGGAAAAACGTACAACAGAAAGACACATGTAGTAAGCTAAGCTTATTGTGGCGATCGGCGCCTGTGTCACACACACAGCCAGGCACGTGCACACATAGACATCAAAGGGGCTCAAGCACCTGCCCTTTTTCTTCCTCAAGAGAAAGTGCCCTTATTTCTGGGATGCTTTTTTTTTTTAAATAAATAAATTATATATAGAGTATATATATATATATATATATATATATATATATATAGAGAGAGAGTATATATATATATATATATATATATATATATTCCTGTTGTGCACAGCTTTCCTGTCAAATAAATATATTTACTGAATAAAAAATCTAAATATCAGGAAAGGAGATGCTCTCTCTCTCCCTCAGGCGCAGACAGGCAGCAGCCCCTCCAGCTTCTCTCCCAGCAGTGTTTTTCTTGGCTTGTGTGGAGGTGAGTGGTGATGAACAAAAGACTAAACTACCAGTGCCTCGAGTTTACAGCTAATTCGCAAAAAGACAAAAGGCAAGTATAAGTCTTGCTAACATGCATGACTCTAATGTAATAAGTTAGCTAAAGTTAAGCTAAGGCAATTTATCATGGTTGGTCATACAGGCTAATGTTACTGTAGCCTACTTAATGTAGACACAACAGGTGAATACAGTACAATTCGTGTCTAATAATGTAATCACGATCGCCACATTGATATGCAAATTAGGCGTTAACTAATTAAAATGCGCTAATTTGCACACATTTGACAAGTCACTGCAGGTGAATGGGATAAAGAAAATAACTAAAGCATGTCACCACAGAGCTTCCTCAGTAAATGACTTACATCAAGACTCTTTCCCCTTGAAATGTTATGTTTAAATATGCAGATTAGATTGTTTTAGTTCATTTAGAAGAAATCTACTAATGCAAACCGACGAGAGGTAGGCTTAAAACAAACTCCATCTAAATGTGTATTTTGGAAATTTTCTTTCCATGTATTGTTCCATGAGTAAAAGAAGACAAAAGCATAATAGACCAAAATCTCAAAATTGACCACTATATGAAAACGTGTCCTGCCTTAAACAGTAACTTTACATGATATAGACAACCAAGTAATAACGAAAAGTGTTATGTAATCCAATAAGACCAAAATAATTAAAAGGATTTATTGCCTGGTCAAAAATAAACAAATTATTAGTGAAACTAACGTTTTGTCAAAAAGAAATCATAAATAATTATGAGAAGTGCCGTTTTTTTCACTTGAGCCCCTGCCCAACAAAATGTCTGTGCACATCCCTGCACACAGCCACCAGTCAGCTCAGGAAATATCTGTGAAACGGCGTTTCAAATCAAACTCACATGTCCGAAATTGGACCAGTCTGTCATGAGTTACTTACAGCCAGTGCGCTGCTTACCAGCATCAGAGGCTGCGGGGGGGCTCCGGTGTTGTTGGAGAATTACTAAGCTTGTCTATTAAACACAAAAGGCGTTTTCTTTCCGTTGGCCAACTTCTGAATTGAACCTCAAACTGAGTATTTTTTTGTTTGCTTACTGAGATATAGAAAGACGGACTCCTAGGAGATGGGAACTGAGATAAGGACTCATTAATTGGTGGTTGAACTGTGGGTTTTGTATTGAGCGCTTACTGTATAATACACTGTGGTGAACTTTGTTTTTCTTGTGGTCTGTAGGTAGGCCGACCTGATGATATTATATCTTATTATTTAATGCCATGACTTGACTCTCAAATTATCTTTCTCATATTATTATAATTTGATATTTCTTCTCCACCATTGCTCATAATAATAATTCATGCATCACCTAATTTCATCAAAACACAGGCCTGGCCTACAAGAAAGAACAGTGCATGTTTAATCTATCTAATATTGTGTTGGTCATACTACACGCTGATTTATTGCTTGTCTGTTTAGAATAATACAGAAGGTTAAAAAGCTTAAAAATTAATTTCATATTAAATATCATGGCGCTATAAACAACCGCTATCCATTCTGTGTTATAGCTGACTAATGCTGCTAATTATCATTCAACCACATATGTCCTACATTTGCAACAGTGTTTATAATTAAACTATTTATACTATACATTGTAAGTCCTTTTCCATGAAATTGTTGTACACTGGCATGCACAAGCAGCAATAAAAACCATGACACTATACCTGTTTTCCTTTCCTGAATTTACTGTACCAGGTTCCGGGCTTCTCCCCTTTCCAGGCTGCTAACTTCACCTGATAGCAAACAAAACAAAACAATCAGCTTCAAGTACAGCTCAGCTTCACTAAATCAACACACCGATTGACTAAATAATGTTAATCTCTTTCCCAGAAATCATTCAGCTTTTGTCAAAGGCTCCGGTTAGCTTTGAAGAGTTTTTCAAATGCTCAAAATCTGTGTGTGTGTGTGCACGAAAACTAACCGACTGGAACTTCTTGTCAGGGTACAGACACGTCTCTCCCTGTGCAGTGAAGTTACAAAACACCTTGAAGGAGTCTCTATGGCAACCCTGGTTTGGATCTATCCAGTACTCACCTGGAGAGAGAGGAAAGGGTAGAGGAGGGCAGAGGGTCAAAAAAACACATTGCTAATACCAGTGTCAACAACAAAAACACCAAACAGAGAAAAATCACACAGGAAGCAGACACGTGGACAGCTATAGGAAGAAAGACAGGCCGATACAATGAGTCAAGACTTGCAGGCAAACAGCTGTGATAAACAAAAGGTCAGAGACACAAATTGATAAAGTACCGTTGGGGAGATCTGGGTGGAGGAGCCAGAGCTCCTTACAGGTGCGGGCGGGGCTGTGGTACGTCCCTTGTGGGTTACGCAGACCCTCCACCTCTACTTTCATAGAGGACAGAGATGCAAACACTTCCTCCATGCCTTGGCCCTCCTTCTCCTTCATCCCACCGTGCTGCTCTGCCTGGTCCCCCTGCATCCATTCTTCCTCTCTTCCATCTATCGCATCCCCCTCCTCCTCTTCCACTTCAAATGTAGCACCATCCACCAAGGTGTGGGTTCTCCTTCTCCGTCCTCGCTCTGGCAGAGGGGAAATCCCAGCTGCTGGCAATCCCTGGGGAGAGGAGAGAAAGAAAAATGGTAAAGGGAAAGAAACAGGTAGGGAGGAAAGCAGATTAAAGCAGGCAGTTATAAATGAGAAAGGGGAGGAAGAAGCATTGGAAACAGGGATGAAGTTTTTATAGTTTTGTACTTTATTGATGGTTGTTAGTTGTACTAAATCTATAAGCAGAACTCACTGGTGGTCCTGGAGGTCCTGCAGGCCCAGTGTCTCCTCTGGGACCAATTGGACCCTAAATGCACACAGAGCAAAGGGATTAATTTAGGGCAGTAGAGAGGTATGAGGCTCCAAAGTGACTAATTCAATCCAATGAAACAGTGAGCATCACAGTTACCTGGTTTCCTTTTGAGCCCTTTAAACCAATAGCACCCTGTGAGAGAGGTAAAGAGTTAAAAGTTAAGACACACAAGATAAACAATGTCCCAGTAATCCCAATGCTAACAAGGGTGATTCATGTTTTTGCATGTACTGTCAGGATTATCTTGTATACTCACAGACAGACCCGTGGGGCCAAGGGGACCGTGAGGACCTGGTGAACCAAGCGGACCCTGACATTAACATAAAAGACATGAAACTGTCAGATTAAGAAAACAAGTAGATCTGCTGGAGGTAACTACTACAAATTCATTGCTGTTTTTGATCTTTTTATGGGATGTGATGCCAATTAGAAAAATATGGAATACATTGCCAGCCTTGTCCTTTTAAAGATGGACAACATTCAGTTACCTTGGGTGTTTGCTGTGTGTCAAAGTGCATGTTCAGGTGGGAACACTATATAAATCAAATTATTACTTACTACACTAATAAAGTCCAATCATGCTCACTCAACCTTAAAAAGTGTCACCTGAAAGGTTTTGACAATGTCTCAGCTGTTTTATTTTAGCTAAACCATGCTAATCAGAGCTGTATGAGAAACTACAGTATGTGTGACATATGACATTGTTCAAATGACTGTAAAAATGTAATTACTTTGGTGTGTATTATTAAAATACAATATACAGTAATACAGTACTGTAAATAAAATATAGTTCACTATGGTTCAAATTATAATCAAGCTATAGCCTAAATATATATATAAACACTGTAAGCAAAGTACTTGATTATTTAATTGTTTTTGATCCATGTAATTAAACTGGAGCAATACAGATCCAATGCCTTTTAATTTTATTAACTTACTGACCATATGCATATTTTTGAGTACCTTGATTTTTACCAGTGCAATTATGGCTCATAAACCAATTTAGTGTGAATGTGTTGCTTTACATTAATGTAATGAATTCTGTTTATGTATTTTATCCTTTACCAAAAACATACTGAACAATGTAACTGAATTTAGCATACATTTACACACCTAACAATGTTTTTTTCATCAACCAGGTCTTATATAAGTGTTTCTTTTTTTATATAGAATTGTGGTGGATGTACTTTTAGTGTTGTTATATTGTTTCTGCTTTATGTGCTCAAGTGCAATTGAATATAATAATTCATTGGTTTATTTCACTTAGGTTCTACTTACCTTGTAATTAATTATTGACAGGGGCAGGGTCTCTGATTGTGACTTGTAATGTAATGTGCAATGTAACGTAAATGTATGGTGCGGACTGTATGATGTATGTGAATGTAAAGTCCAAATGTGTTACTGTTGCTTACTGCAGCCTCATGCGGCACTGATGCCCAAGACAAATTTCCCTTCGGGGACAATAAATTTGATCTTGTCTTATCTTATAATGACAGTGCCCACAAACCAATTAACACAGGGCAAACCCGCGGACAAATTGGTAATCCAGGCTTGTGCGTATGTGTTTGTGTATATTTTCAGCACCTCATCTCCTTTTGGACCAGGTAGTCCCTGGTTTCCTGGCAGTCCTCTGTCGCCTTTCTCTCCCATGTCTCCTGGTGGCCCTATCAGACCTATTAGACCACCATGACCCTGCGATATGCAGCGATATCACAAATCAGCTGAAGTTCAAAGTCAGGTCAAGTTCAGAGTGAATGTTTATTTATGTACAGTATGCACGCACCTTGTCTCCCTTCTTGCCATGGTCTCCTTTCAGTCCAGGTAATCCCGGTGGACCCTGAGAAGATGAAGTTAGGATGATGTCAAATAAAAGCTGAAGTGTAGCAAGTGCATATAAAAACTTGCTTTACTTGAGTGTTCTGATCATACTGTCCCTAAACTATCAATAAAATAATAATTTTCATTTCTAATAGTATTTTCTCCATTATGTGCTTGCTTTGATGAGTCATCTTACCATGGGACCTGGGGGTCCTGTCTGGCCTGGGGGTCCATTTAAACCCTGCTCACCCTGAGAGAAAGATACACAGAAATAAATTAACCTCCATCTTTTTTATGCTCCACTTCCACTGCTTCATTCTTCACCCTGTGACTTACTGCAGGGCCAGGGATCCCTCTTAAACCTTGAGGCCCAGGTTTCCCAGGGTGACCCTGGGCACCTACAGGCCCTGTCTTGCCTATGGGACCCTCCAAACCGGGAGCACCCTGAAACAGACAGAGAATAGGGTGACCTTCAGAAGCTGTGAGCATTCAGATGTTATTAATCAGTTGTTTGTAACGCTCACCTTCGCTCCTTTCAGGCCTGCCTTTCCTTCCTTCCCTTGTTTTCCCAAGTGGCCCTGAAGAGCAGCATTTTATAACATTGAATAAAACTTTCTGACATAAAGATGCACTGATGCACAAACACACAGTGACAATGCACTGAGAAAAATACCTTCAACCTCATTCTAACAGAGGAAGATGTTTAATCTATTACTTAATCAAACATGGGGTAGAAAATTAGTGAGTGCATCAGAGGTCCCTGCAGGCACTGACACATTAACACAAAAACACACAAACCCTTCGCCCAGGAGGTCCAGGTGGTCCAGGTTCTCCTGCCGCACCTGGTGGTCCCTGAGCAATATAAAGAAAACTAATTATAAGGCCAGTCATTGCATTGTATGATGACAGCATCTTTTATGTTTATGAATTACTGAATGTCATGGTGTATGAAGGTAGGAGCTCACAGATTTCCCAGGGTCTCCTATGTCTCCTTTGGACCCGGGCAGACCATCCACACCCTGATGAGTGGCAAAAAAAAATAGTGGGCACAGGAAAACTACACTTCTTCTGCACCAGAAAATAAAGCTGAGGTTGTCTTTATGGCAATATGGAATAATTTAATGTAGAAAGAGCAATAACAAAGGGGCCGATGATTCAAACAAACTAGACAATATGTGATGATGTTTGACCCAATTGACAAAAAAAAAAAAACATCCTTTCATGAGGATACAGTTGGTACTGATATAAAAACTCAACTCCACACATTAGGCTTTTTTAACTACACTTTTCAAAGTTGCTATGCATTGGGAATTGAAATGCAAAATAATATTATTTGATATTCTATTATTTTATATTTTATAATAATATAATCATTTCTTACTCAATTTCCAGATGTAAATGTACCAGTTCTTAAATGAGCATGAGAATTTTGTCTTCGCTCCAAATTATGTTTAATGTACGATTCTACATATTGATCTTTGATTTGAATGTAATTTCAATGTTTGACTTTCCTTAAGTATAGGCTTTGTTTGACTATGTTTATGTTACGTAGCAAATTGTTCTTTTAAATACAATGCAAGTCACATAGACAAAAACCAAGGAAATGTGTTTAATCCCAGAAAGATCTGCTTTTGCTATTGCATTGGACAAGATGGTTCCATAACTGCCAAAATATTTTTAATTACAGATGCAGAAGAAGTAAAAGAGGAAGATGATCAGAAAAAGCAGGCACTCACATTGGGTCCAGCCTCTCCCTGTTGTCCAAGGTCTCCCGTGAGACCTATAGGACCCTGAGGAGAGAGAGAGAGTTTGAGCTAGTACAGAAGTAGTACAGAAGTATACTGGATAGCACAGAATAATGGGCTATAAATGTGTTTTGAATGATATACTGTCCTACAAAGCCAGAGGACAGTGACTACAGAAGCAGTGAAGTGTGATAGATAGAAAAGTTGTATTGCCTTTATTTTATGCCTTTTTAGGCTGATCATTTTCAATGCCATAAAGCCTACATAATACATATAAATGCTGATACTGCACTTTGCCTTTGGATAATGTTCATGGAATTCAAAAGGGAAATGCAGTACTACCAGCAAATGCCCGGTGGGCCAACAGGTGTTTATTTATTTATTTAACTGTTTTAAAAAATGGGCCAACGACCGGCCCATAAAGCATGGACAGTGGCCCGTTGGGTCATTTTCTATACTGACACTGGGCTGGCCCAATCGCATCTCTAACTGTGTGTGGAGGAGGTGTGATGTAGCGAAGCAGAGTGACAGAGTGGCAGGGCCGAGGGACAGAGAGAGCAGTTTGAAATGGCAGATGTTGTCTCCAACAATTTTTAAAGCATTTGTTAAAAATGTTCTAAAAAAATTAAGAAATATTAATTAACAAATGAATGCTATAAGAAAAGTTTATTTGCACCTGCAATGCATTATAAATATAGAAGAAACATCTGGGTTGTCCAAAAAAATTAACTTAAGCTAAAAAAATAAGCTACTGATTATTGCATTATATTCTATTATATTTTTATATTCTGAATTGTCACCTGCCACATGAATTTCGTGTTTCCCTCTATATATATATAAAGACATTTCCACCATAAATTGGTGCAGAAAATCCCCCATATACGATCCCCCAATCGTATATTTCACCAATAATATTTTTTCTAGATAGTATTAAAGTACTTAAAATACTGTCTTGTTCTCATGACCCCAATCTTGTGCAATGTCACGTCTCGTGATTCATTAGGGAATACATAGGGCTGGACGATTTGGCCTAAAATCATAATCACGATTAATTGAACATTTTACATCGATTACGATTAATGAATGATTATTTTGTTTTTGATTGTTGTTGTTTATTTGGGTTTTTTGCCCTCATAGTTCACTGACAAGGTTTTTACTGTAAATATGCTCAACTCTTAATGCTGGGTTTACTTTTTCAAATTAACAAATAAAGAACTAAAAAATCGATTTTGTTGACATGCACATATCAAGATATTCTACTACAGTTAACCATTTTCACCCACACACTGTGCGCGCAAAGTAACACTCAACGCTTTGCTAGCTTCCTCTTCTCAATCATCAAAGGATATCTACATGACAGGTGCTGTTATAAGAGCAGCGGAGGTAACATCATTAGGTCCTTTTTAATAGCAGTGCAATGTGTGTGCTGTTAGTGAGAGGGTGAGCGAATCAGAGAGAGATAGAGCCGCAGACAGTGACGGTGAAAGCGAGCGAGTAAATTGTCAATCTGGCAGTTAATCTGCAGTGTAGGTCACAGTGTGTAAATTAATACAACAAATGTCAACAAATGTCTGTTGTTTCCCCAGCTGTTGGAAAGTGAAGGAAGTTAGCACTAGCTAGCATCTCCCGGAGATGACTCTGGTCTGGAAGCTGAGCAGGATTGGAGGGGGTTGAGTCATGTGAATACACAGGCAGTAGTATGTTTTAAGGGGAAAAATTAACAGGATTAAATAACCGACATGGGAAAATTACATTGGCTAGAAGCTCTGAATTTCGGTTTAGATTACTTTTCAATTAATTGTCCAGCCCTAGCATGTTATATGGAAGCATGGTGTATTGGTGAGGAGTGTCCAACCGATTTTGGTGGGCCGCCTGGGCCAAAAATGCCAGGGCCGATTTTCTGTCCTCTGTTGACCAGATTACCAGTCCAGCCCTGTTGCTGGAGCTACAGCCTCATTTACTTGTGTAGCACACCAAACTCAACTACCAAGACGTCAGTTCCTCAAAATTTATATTTTTCAGCAATGGAAAAATCTAGTAAATGTAGTTTTAACTTTTGATGAGACTAGAAGACGCTACCGCCGCAGCTAGCTTTCACTTGAAATATGTAACTTTCTTTCTTCAGCTGTTTAGTACACAATAGCTCTGTGGTAGACAGAGCAATTAGTGCAACAGCAGCTTCTAGACAGATTCCTATAGAAGCCAGAGTACTGCAGCATGGGCAGCCACACAAATCCAGAATTTATATGTTTATTGCTTTGTGTCGCAATGTATTGTACAGTATACATTTGCTGGTCATATAATTAGAATATCATCAAAAAGTTGATTTATTTCAGTAATTCCATTCAAAAAGTGAAACTTGGATATTATATTCATTCATTACACACAGACTGATATATTTCAAATGTTTATTTCATTTAATTGTGATGATTAAACTGACAACTAATGAAAATCCCAAATTCAGTATCTCCAAAAATTATTAAATTACTAAGACCAATACAAAAAAAGGATTTTTAGAAACGTTGGCCAACTGAAAAGTATGAGCATGTACAGAACTCAATACTTAGTTGGGGCACCTTTTGCCTGAATTACTGCAGCAATGCGGCGTGGCATGGAGTCGATCAGTCTGTGGCACGGCTCAGGTGTTATGAGAGCCCAGGTTGCTCTGATAGTGGCCTTCAGCTCTTCTGCATTGTTGGGTCTGGCGTATCGCATCTTCCTCTTCACAATACCACATAGATTTTCTATAGGTTTAAGGTCAGGCGAGTTTGCTGGCCAATTAAGAACAGGGATACCATGGTCCTTAAACCAGGTACTGGTAGCTTTGGCACTGTGTGCAGGTGCCAAGTCCTGTTGGAAAATGAAATCTGCATCTCCATAAAGTTGGTCAGCAGCAGGAAGCATGAAGTGCTCTAAAACTTCCTGGTAGACGGCTGCGTTGACCTTGGACCTCAGAAAACACAGTGGACCAACACCAGCAGATGACATGGCACCCCAAACCATCACTGACTGTGGAAACTTTACACTGGACTTCAAGCAACGTGGATTCTGTGCCTCTCCTCTCTTCCTCCAGACTCTGGGACCTTGATTTCCAAAGGAAATGCAAAATTTACTTTCATCAGAGAACATAACTTTGGACCACTCAGCAGCAGTCCAGTCCTTTTTGTCTTTAGCCCAAGCGAGACGCTTCTGACGCTGTGTCTTGTTCAAGAGTGGCTTGACACAAGGAATGCGACAGCTGAAACCCATGTCTTCCATACGTCTGTGCGTGGTGGTTCTTGAAGCACTGACTCCAGCTGCAGTCCACTCTTTGTGAATCTCCCCCACATTTTTGAATGGGTTTTGTTTCACAATCCTCTCCAGGGTGCGGTTATCCCTATTGCTTGTACACTTTTTTCTACTACATCTTTTCCTTCCCTTCGCCCTCTCTATTAATGTGCTTGGACACAGAGCAGCCAGCCTCTTCAGCAATGACCTTTTGTGTCTTGCCCTCCTTGTGCAAGGTGTCAATGGTCGTCTTTTGGACAGCTGTCAAGTCAGCAGTCTTCCCCATGATTGTGTAGCCTACAGAACGGACTGAGAGACCATTTAAAGGCCTTTGCAGGTGTTTTGAGTTAATTAGCTGATTAGAGTGTGGCACCAGGTGTCTTCAATATTGAACCTTTTCACAATATTCTAATTTTCTGAGATACTGATTTTGGGGTTTTCATTAGTTGTCAGTTATAATCATCAAAAGTAAGAGGAATGAACACTTGAAATATATCAGTCTGTGTGGAATGAATGTATATATTATACAAGTTTCACTTTTTGAATGGAATTACTGAAATAAATCAACTTTTTGATGATATTCTAATTATATGACCAGCACCTGTACCAACGGTACAGTATTTAAGAGTTTATTAGAATGATTGTTTCTCACAGCATTGCCCTTGGCTCCATCCTCTCCTGCGGTGCCCCTGGCTCCTGGGGGACCAGCTGCTCCTGAAGGGCCCGTATCTCCCTTCTCCCCCTGGTCTCCTTTTCCTCCCTAAAGTACCAAAGGAGCAGAGTGAGCGATAAGATGGCTGGGGCAAAGGAGAAGAGCAAGAAACTTCAAAAACGAAGATAGATGGAGAAAATTTGAAGATGCCTTGATCATCTTTTGACCCCCCAAAAATCAAACAAACTCACTAGCCTTCCTGGAACACCAACTGAACCAGGGTCACCTGCTTCGCCATCCTCCCCCTTAGAGAGAAAGAAATTATGTGTAAGAGACAATTTGTTATGGAAGGAGCGTTGTCATGCAATGTGTATGCAAAATATATGAGTTAATTTCTTTACCTTCTCTCCAACAATACCTGGTTGTCCTACCATCCCGGGTCGACCAGTCGGACCCTGCACAACACAGAGATCACAGTTTTTCTTCAGAATTCAATGCAAGTGCTCAAATAAAAGATAATGCATTCATATTACTGTGAGACTTACCTGTCCCCCAACAGGTCCTTGAGGACCATTAGGGCCTTGTTGACCAGGTGGACCCTACAACCAGGTTATGTAACATGGGAGAAATAACAGCAGTTTATTCATTTGTGTAACAAAGGAAAATGTGATGTAAATAAGGGACTAAACTGGAATAAAGCTCACCATTAGTCCCACATGGCCACTCTCACCCTTCTCTCCTGGTAGACCGGGCATGCCCTTGAAAACCAAACATGGGATTAGAGGATTAAAGTGAAGAGCTCCAAGTTCACTCCAAGATATTGCTTCAATGATCTGCACCGTGACTGCTATACAAATCTCACCTGTAATCCTATTGGTCCTTTAAGGCCCTTAAAGCCACGGAGACCCTCATCTCCTTTCGGACCGTACATGCCCTGCTGGCCCCGGGGACCCAGTATCCATCTAGACCCGGTACACAGAGGAGATGAACAGTGAACGTCTTTATGACTTAAAATGATAATGAAGTATTGTTAAAATTAATGTTTTTATATGTTGGACTTTTTGGTTACAACTCCTCAGGCCATTGCTTTAAACAATG